CTGTCAGTTTTTATTTATGTCATCTTGCCGCCTACGCCCGTTGATAATTTTATGTACGTTAATAAAGTTTTATGACAGGCGGCTCACTCCCTCTTACAATTTTTTTGGGATATGTCGCTCTGTAATGCAGTTTCGTGGAATCTACCATTTATCAACTATAGGACAGAAAACCGAAATAATTAATAATGACTAATTTAATTTTGTGACTGTCAGACAAGCGAAAGAATTTAGAGATCATCCTGGAAATTTTTAAGTCTTCCTACAAATCGTCAAGACCACAGGATTTGAGAGTCCCTGGATGTAATCCAGATTCATGCATGGAATTTATCAATCTTTAGGAATTGTGCTTAAAAACTATTTGTTCACCTTAAAAATCCATAACTTTCAACAATTTTGTTTACAAATCTTCTGGGCAATTTTTAAATATTTTGGGTAAACGTATTAAAAATGAGGACTAATAGTTATTTATTATTTAAGACGATAAAGGTATTGAGTGAATTAACTTTCACGAGATACTTAATTAGTTTCCCTTTATCGTCGTGTATAATACAAAACTTTAATTTATAGCCGAAGTCGAAGCAATATAAATCATTGTAAAGCTTCTGACAATTCTGAATTTAATTTATACGTAAAAAATAGCAAGCTTAGGTTCGGCCGTCGCGATCGTTTCCATAGAAATAGCATTGTATTCTGTTCTGAACGTCATTTTATTTCGTGCTTCGCGTCCCATTTGAAATAAGAATGACAGCTGATCTCGCAGCTGATGTCATCAGAATGCACAATCACCTGTTTCACTCTTACCAACCCTCGCAACTCATTCAAACCATTGAATAAAAATAGTGTTTTTATTCAATGTTCAAACCTATTAAAATGTCAATTTAACATAACGCTATAAAATAAACACATTTATCTATATTCCAAACTTCTCGTTTTTCATGGTCCCTTATCGGTTACTATTTAAATTTTCATATCGTTATAAATCTTTTAGAAAGTACCTTAGAGGAACTATTAGACCAGAAAAACATATTTCCCTCTTGGATACATCGTTTAGTCATCGGAAACCCTAATGAAATCCCCCTGAAATATTTTTATCAATTTTCCCGAGCAATGATGTGTCAAAATCTCAAGGTAAGTAAAAAAAAGTAAAGATGGTGTGGTAATAAATAATAGAAATTCCCTTGTATATGTGAATGTGGAAACAATTGCTGACGAAACAGCGATAAAAAATTACCTCTCTTGCTATATCAAACCACAATTCCGGCGTAAGCACCATGCGTCACATCCAGTAAGGCATACCTACGAGATAAAACACAAATGGCGCCCTATATCTCTATTTATTCCGACACATAAATTAGGTCTCGATAAAACCTCAAGGTCCTTCGTTATTAGCACTTATTTCCATCTGCTTCTAGCAATATTCTTTAGTTCTTGGCGAGGTTCGTGGTCACCTAAAGACACAAAAAATTGAAGGCCTTTTGGAACATCGGCCAAGTATATGCTACCCGCTGTAAATAATTTCAGGACTCTCGGACAATCTCCCCAAAATTAGCTGAATATCCCAGAGGTGGGTCGGGAAGAAACTCGGGACGAAACAATAGTACATTTTTTAATTCTTAAAAAATTCGCTTCTGCAATCTTCTCTCACCAACCTTAAAATGATTTTGGTTAAGTTTGCTATTTAGAAGTTTTTGTAAAATGAAAATAACGCACCCAAAATTCTAAAAAAATTCCATCTGGATCTGACCGGACAACCAAAAAATCACATTTTCATAAAAATAGCCTTATGACTATAAGAATAAAATTGTGAACAGACAGACACCCTGTAGATCTTGTCGTCGGGATTAGAAATTTTTGTAATTTTTTTACAAAATCGATACTTTGAAATTCTTCCCAAAA